TTATATCTCTTTCTGGACTCTATTCTAGTCCACTGTTCTCTGCTACTTTTATCTAATAGTTCTTCAAATAAATTATCAAAACTTGACTTTTAGTGCAAAAAAGGAGTTTACCTTTTTTTTTTTTTATTTTTTGAGAGTCTCACTTAATCACCCAGGCTGGAGTACAGTGGTGTGATCTTGGCTCACTGCAACCTCTGTCTCCAGGGTTCAAGTGATTCTCCTGTTTCAGCCTCCCAAGAAGTTGGGATTACAGGCGCAAGCCACTATGCCCAGCTAATTTTTGTGTTTTTAATAGTGACAGATTTCACCATGTTGGCCAGGCTGGTCTCAAACTCCTGACCTCAGGTGATCCACCTGCCTCGGCCTCCCAAAGTGCTGGGATTACAGGAGTGAGCCACTGTGCCTGGCCGTTTTTTACTTTTAAATTGATTGGTTTTAATTAAAAGTATCTTAGGTTTTGATTACAATTACATCAAGGTAGCAATGGTTGTACAACAATATGAATGTGCTTAATGAATTTTAAAACAGAAAAACCTTTGTTGTTAGTCAGACAACCATGATTGCCACTTTGATTCTAGGCATCTAACTCAAAGGTTCTCAAACATTTTAGTCTCTGGACCCTTACCCTTAAAAATTAAGAACGCTGAAGAGCTTTTGTTTATGTGGGTTATATCTACCTACATTTACTGTGTTAGAAATTTACAATGAGACATTTTAAAAACACAAGAATAGGCTGGGCACGGTGGCTCACACCTGTAATCCCAGCACTTTGGGAGGCCAAGGCAGACAGATCATGAGGTCAGGAGATCGAGACCATCCTGGCTAACACAGTAAAACCCCATCTCTACTAAAAATACAAAAACAAATAGCTGAGCGTGGTGGTGAGTGCCTGTACCACCCAGCTACTCAGGAGTCCCAGCTACTCAGGAGGCTGAGGCAGGAGAATGGCGTGAACCCAGGAGGCGGAGCTTGCAGTGAGCCGAGATTGTGCCACTGCACTCCAGCCTGGGCAACAGCGCGAGACTCCAAGAATACAGAAGCACACATTCCATTAGCCCTCAGAGTGACGACATCATCTCACTTCATGTAGCTTCTGGAAAATTCCACTGTACACTCATGAAAGAATGAGAGTGAAGAAGGCACGTAACAGCTTAGTACTACTAAGAAAATAGTTTGGACCTCCCTGAAAAGTTCTCAGAGGCCCCAAGACTGCACTTTCAAAATAAATGGTATAATTATTCCCACTGATATGATCAATGGCACTATAAACAATTTTTTTTTTTTTTTGAGACAGATTCTTGCTCTGTCGCCCAGGCTGGAGTGCAGTGGAGCAATCTCAGCTCACGGCAGCCTCCACCTCCCAGGTTCAAGTGATTCTCCTGCCTCAACCTCCCGAGCAGCTGGGATTACAGGCGCCCAACACCACACCTGGCTAATTTTTTTGTATTTTTAGTAGATATGGGGTTTCACCATGTTGGCCAGGCTGGTCTTGAATTCCTGACCTCAGGTGATCTGCCCACCTCGGCCTTCCAAAGTGCTGGCATGAGCCACCATGCCCAGCCTATAAACTTTTCTGAAACTTGCCTGAAACTTTCATTTTTCAATGAAAAGGAGCCTATGTGTCAGGGGGAAGGGAGGAGGACATCAGTATCTATCTAAAATAAATATCTTTAAAATAAAAATAGGCTGGGAGCGGTGGTGCACACCTGTAATCCCAACACTTTGGGAGGCTGAGGCAGGCAGATCACTTGAGTCCAGGAGTTCTAGACCAGCCTGGGCAACACGGCAAAACCCTATCTCTACAAAAACTACAAATATTAGCCTGACGTGGTGGCACAGGCCTGTAGTCACAGCTACTCAGGAGGCTGAGGAAGGAGGATGGTTTGAACCCTGGAGGTTGAGGTTGCAATGAGTCATGATCATGCCACTGTACTCAGCCTGGGTGACAGAGTGAGACTCTGTCAAGAAGAAGAAGAAGAGGAAGAAGAGGAAGAGGAAGAAGAAATTCACAAGAAAGAGTACCACTATTTATAAAAGAAATAGCAAAAAGTAGCTGCTGGTTTTATTTAAGCTTTGGTTTTCTTCTTTTTAGACGGAGTCTCACTCTGTTGCCACGCCTGGAGTGCAGTGGCGCAGTCTGGGCTTACTGCAACTTCCGTCTCCTGGGTTCAAGTGATTCCCGTGCCTCAGCCTCCCAAGTAGCTGGTACTACAGGCATGCACCACCACGCCTGGCTAATTTTTTTTTTTTTTTTTTTTTTTTTTTTTTTTGGTATTTTAGTGGAAATGGGATTTCACCGTGTTGGCCAGAATGATCTCGAACTCCTGACCTTGTGATCCGCCCACCTTGACTTCCCAAAGTGTTGCGATTACAGGCGTGAGCCACCGCACCTGGCCCTATTTAAGCTTTTACTTAACCTTGGTAATTTTATGTTGACAACCTACAAATGTTGATAAAGTTATTGCTACTCCTGCCAACTGAGGCTTTTTCATCCTGTTGGTCCCTTTCTTCTTCCCAGACTTGATCCTGAAAGATGTTGTCGTTAAATGTTCCCTAAGAACCCACTTTCATATATGGTCTCAAACACAGACCATGTTAATGAACATTTCTCCTGTTCATTAACTCCTTTCTTCTGCCAGTTTACCCTTGCTTTCAAAGAACTATCAATTAAGCAGTTGTTTGTTGCTTCTCTTCCCATTTTCTTTACTTCTTTATCTCATTGCTTCCCACTGTGTAGAATACATAGCACTGAAGATATACAAGATGATTTTAGGTAGTAGATGGAAAACCAATTTTACCTTTTACATATTTACTTGAAATTAGATGAATAAAAAATATAAGTAGTATAATACATCAGTACATCTGTAATTTCTAGGGTATTATAGTTTCCTTTCTAAATACAGCATGGATTTATTTATTTTTTTATTTATTTATTTATTTTTTTGAGTCAGGGTCTCCCTCTGTTGACCAGGCTGGGGTGCAGTGGTGCAGTCTGGGCTGACTGCAACCTCTGCCTCCCAGATTCAAGCAATTCTCCTGCCTCAGCCTCCCAAGTAGCTGGGACTACAGGTGAGTGCCACCATGCCTGGCTCATTTTTTTTTTTTTTTTTTTTTTTGTATTTTTAGTAGAAACAGGGTTTTGCCATGCTGGCCAGGCTGGTCTCAAATTTTTTGGCCTCAAGTGATCCACCCGCCTCAGCCTCCCAGAAGTGCTGGGATTACAGGCATGAGCCACTGCACCTGGCTTTAAATAATGGATTTTTTAAAGTAGATAAATAATAATACACGTGCTTGACACACAGCAAAAAGTACCAAGGTGGTATGTAACATGACTGAAATATAAGAAATACTGCTAGGTGCAGTGGCTCACGCCTGTAATCCCAGCGCTTTGGGAGGCCGAGGTGTGTGGATCACTTGAGTCCAGTTCAAGACCAGCCTGGACAACATGGTAAAACCCCATCTGTACTAAAAAAACACAAAAATTAGCCGGGTGTGGTGGCAGACACTTATAATCCCAGCTACTCAGAGGCTGAGGCACGAGAATCACTTGAACCCAGGAGGCGGTGGTTGCAGTGAGCCAAGATGGCGCCACTGCACTCTAGCCTGGGTAACAGAGAGAAATGCTGTATCCAAATAATAATAATAATAATAAAATAAAATAAAAATAAAAAAGAGTACTTTTTTGGCAGGGTGTGATGACTCACTTTGGGAGTCCAAGGCGGAAGCACTGCTTGAGGCCAGGAGTTCAAGACCAGCCTGGGCAATATAGCTAGACCCTGTCTCTACAAAAAGAAAATAAAAATAATTTAAAAAAATAAGGTGACAGCAAAAAAGGAAAAAAAAAGGCCAGGCACGGTGGCTCCCGCTTGTAATCCCAGCACTTTGGAAGGCCGAGGTGGGTGGATCACAAGGTAAGGAGTTCAAGACCAGCCTGGCCAACACAGTGAAACCCCGTCTCTACTAAAAATACAAAAATTGCCGGGCGCGGTGGCTCACGCCTGTAATCCCAGCACTTTGGGAGGCCGAGGCGGGCGGATCACAAGGTCAGGAGATCGAGACCACGGTGAAACCCCGTCTCTACTAAAAATACAAAAAATTAGCCGGGCGCGGTTGTGGGCGCCTGTAGTCCCAGCTACTCGGGAGGCTGAGGCAGGAGAATGGCGGGAACCCGGGAGGCGGAGCTTGCAGTGAGCCGAGATCGCGCCACTGCACTCCAGCCTGGGCGACAGAGCGAGACTCCGTCTCAAAAAAAAAAAAAAAAAAAAAATTAGCTGGGCATGGTGGCGGGTGCCTGTAATCCCAGCTACTCGGGAGGCTGAGGCAGGAGAATAGTTTGAACCTGGGAGGTGGAGATTTCAAGTGTGCTGAGATCATGCCACTGCACTCCAGCTTGCGTGACAGAGCTAGACTCTACCTCAAAAAAAAAAAGACAAAAAAAGAAAATCGAAACTTAATCAGGCACGGTGGCACATGCCTGCAGTCCTAGCTACTCAGGAGGCTAAGTAAAGAGGATCAATTGAGCCCAGGAGTTTGAGGGTGCAGTGAGCTATGATGACATCACTTTGTTCCAGCCTGGGCGACAGAGCAATACCCTGTCTCAAAACAAACAAACAAACAAACAAAAAACTTCTGAAAGGAATTGAAAAATTAATTAAGTCATGTTAATTTTTTTTTTTTTTTTCTTTCTGAGACAGCGTCTCGCTCTTTCACCCGGGCTGGAGTGCAGGGGCGCAATCTCGGCTCAATGCAACCTCTGCCTCCCAGGTTCAAGCAATTCTCGTGCACCTCAGCTTCCCAAGTAGCTGGGATTACAGGTGCCTGCCATGGTGCTCGGTTAATTTTTGTATTTTTAGTAGAGATGGGTTTTCGCCATGCTGGCCAGGCTGGTCTCAAACTCCTGAGCTCAAGCGATCTGCCACATTGGCCTCCCAAAGTGCTGAGATTACAGGCGTGAGCCACCTCACCCAGCCAAGTCATGGTATTTCCGATGCCAAACCTACCAGTGATGCTGGTAATTCAGTCGTATTCCTTTCTTCAAAAAAGCCAGCTTGTCCATTTGGTCTTGATCGTAAGATTTTACACAAACTTTTACACATTTCTGTTTTGTTAAAAGAAAACTGTTAAGAAAAAATTGAAAATATTAAGAGATTTGGCTAAAGTTTATAATTCAAATGTCATGAAATAAGCAATTTATCTTACAGGTAAAACTTCTTCAAGGACTTCAGTATGCCATCATTCTCTACACTCTCTTCTAAGTTTTCATTCGTAACTGAAATGATTACAACTAGACACACACACAATGCTGTCATCACTGAAGAGAAGAATTTGTCTTCTTCAATAACATACAAGGTGGGATATGAAATCCACCCTAGCTTCCTAAAAACTACCCTGATATACAATCCTTCACTTAAAAGTGACAATAAAATTGATGGTAGTGGTGGCTGTACAACTCTGTGAATACACTAAAAACCACTAAATTAGACACTTTAAGTGGGTGAATTATATGGTACGTGATTTATCTCTGAATAACACTGTTACCAAAAGAACGTGATAATAAAATATTTGACACTTTTAATACAAAATTTCTTATTTACAAGGTCTAGCTATGGAGGATTATCAAGGTAAAGTGCCAGTGGGCTTTTTTTTATTTATTTTTTGTTTTTTGTTTTTGAGACGGAGTTTCACTCTCGTTGCCCAGACTGGAGTGCAGTGGCACCATCTCGGCTCACCACAACCACCGCCTCCCAGGTTCAAGCGATTCTCCTGCATCAGCCTCCCGAGTAGCTGGGATTACAGGCATGCACCACCACGCCTGGCTAATTTTGTATTTTTAGCAGAGACAGGGTTTCTCCATGCTGGTCAAGCTGGTCTCGAACTCCGGGCCTCAGGTGATCCGCCTGCCTTGGCCTCCCAAAATGCTGGGATTATGGGCATGAGCCACTGCGCCGGGCCCAGTGTTATTATTTATTTATTTTTTTTCTTCCAGAGCCTTCAGATGAAATGTGCCAATGTTATGAATCAGGAAATAATGAGCATGAGTAAACAATGAAAAACAGAGTCATATTTTAGCACCTACTGTCCTGAAATAATACAAATATGAACCAAAAAAGAATCTTATTGGCAGCAGAGTTGTACTACACTGCCAAGTTTCTTCAGTCCAAGGGACAGCATTTCTTGATAAGGTACACTTTCCTTTGGAGTCCTGTGGCACTCCACAAAGGCATTGCATGCAAATTTAATCATCAAAAGGCTAATGCCTGACACACAAACCAATGTAACAGTACAACAGAAAACTCAGAAATACAGCCATATAACTATGCCCAAGTGATTTTTTTACAAAGATGAAAAAGTGGCCGGGCATGGTGACTCACACCTGTAATCCCAGCACTTTGGGAGGCCGAGGTGGGTGGATTACTTCAGGTCAGGAATTCGAGACCAGACTGGCCCCGTCTCTACTAAAACTACAAAAATTAGCTGGGCATGGTCCCAGCTACTCAGAAGACTGAGGCAGGGCCAGGTGAGGTGCTCAGGCCTGTAATCCTAGCATTTTGGGAGGCCAAGGTGGGTGGATCACATGAGGTCAGGCGTTCAAAGCCAGCCTGGCCAACATGGTGAAATCCCATCTCTACTAAAAATACAAAAAAAATTAGCCGGGCATGGTGGCAGGTGCCTGTAATCCCAGCTACCTGGGAGACTGAGGAAGAAGAATTGCTTGAACTCAAGATCGCACTACACTCCAGCGTGGGCAACAGAGCAAGACTTCATCTCAAAAAAAAAAAAAAAGAAGAAGAAGGCTGAGGCAGAAGAATCACTTGAGCTCAGGAGGTGGAGGTTGCAGTGAGCCAAGATGGTGCCACCACACTCCAGCCTGGAGGACAAAGCAAGATTTGCCAAAAAAAATTTGAAAAGGTGCAAAAGCAATTTCACGGAGGAAGGATAGTCTTTTCAAGAAACCATGCTAAAGAAATTAGATATCTATAGGCAAAAAAATTAATCTCAACCTAACTTTCACATCTTACAACAACAACAAATAAAAACCCAAAATGTATCACAGACTTAAATGTGTGAACCCCAAATACCGGAGACAGGTCTCACTCAATATAGAAAGTTTATGCTGCCAGGTGCAGTGGCTCATGCCTGTAATCCTAGTACTTTGGGAGGCCAAGGCGAGTGGATTACCTGAGGTCAGGAGTTCGACCAGCCTGGCCAGCATGGTGAAACCCCATCTCTACTAAAAATACAAAAATTAAAAAAAAAAAATTAGCCAGGTGTGGTGACGGGCGCCTGTAATTCCAGCTGCTCGGGAGCCTGAGGCAGGAGAATCACTTGAACCCAGGAGGCGGAGGTTGCAGTGAGCCGAAATCATGCCACTGCACTCCAGCCTGGGAGACAGAGCGAGACTCCATCTCAAAAAAAAGAAAAAAGGAAGGAAGGAAGGGAGGGAGGGAGGAAAAAAGAAGGAAGGAAGGAAGGAAGGAAGGAAGGAAGGAAGGAAGGAAGGAAGGAAGGAAGGAAGGAAGGAAGGAAGGAAGGAAGGAGAGAAGAGAAGAAAAGAGGTTCCAGATGTTATTAATCATGTTTCTTTGCTAGGGAGCCTGCTGAAATAAAGAATAAAGAGCAAGGACTAGATATCAACAGTCAGAGAAAAGGCAAATAAAAAATATAAAAAGGATGCTATTTCTTACATGTGTTTGGCAAGAGGTTGGCTCAAAACACTGCTATCAATATTTCTCACAGCAAAAGGCAAGCTCCAGGTTTGAAAAATAAATATGCTGCACCTAGAGCTAGCCTTTAAAAACTCCTAGAACCTTCAAGTTGGCTAAGTCTATAGTCAGCACCGTTCTCAACTTTGTGTGCATTTGTGATGCCTTCTACCAGAATACCCCCCTACACCATAGATTAGGCAACTAGAGATCAGAACATAAGTCTTATTTATTAATACTTTTTGAATTGATTACTTGCAAAAAAAAAAAAAAACTCCTTTTAAGTCAGCTTACAATGAAAACAACGAGGCTACTAAGGAAGGGAGTCAAGAAATTACTGGTGGTTGTGGGACACACGGAAGAGGAATTGTCCCAGGAATCCCCGGCTAAAGAAAAGTAATAATGATGACAGTTACCATTTATTGAAAGCTTACTATGTGCAAGGTGCCGTCGTAAGTGCTTTTCATGTACTGTCTCATTGTATTCTCACAAATCTCTAGAAGTAAATAACCCTATGTTTGCAGAGAGAGGACCCAGGAGACCAAAGTGGATTAACATGAATTAGGGGGGTAAGTGTGTGAGACCATATGAGTGAGGGGTAACACAATATGGTGGGGATGTATTTAAGAAAGACCACAATGAGTGTATGTGTCCAGAATGGAAGATTGTGTAAGAACACGAGGGAGAGGGTGGAGGGAAGGGGAGGGTTACAGATGCTGAGAGGAAAAGGAAGGCGTTGAGGAGGAGGGGAGGAGTTAGTTGAGGCAGGAGAGAAGCCAAGAGGGAGGTGGAGGAGCAGCCAATAGGGAGGGAAGTGGGAGGGGCTTAGAGGAAGGAGGAGGAGTCCCAGAAAGGAAAACAGAAGAGCAGAGGCGAAGAGACTAGAAAAAGCAGCAGAGAGGAGGAAGGTAAAGAAGAAGAGAGGGAGAGGTAGGGAGAGGAGCCGAGAGGGCATAGCATCCTGGAGAAAGGGGGAGGGGGAGGAGCCGAGAGGGCACTGGCAGAACAAAAAGGGACGGGGTAAGGAGCCGATAAGGGGGGGAAGGGGAGGGGCCAAGATAAGAAGGTGGGGCCGAAACAGTGGGCGTTGGAGCTGTGAGGGAGAAGGAAGAAGACGAGATGAGAGGGAAGGGAGGAAGCAGAGAAAGAAGAGGAAGGGGAGGAACTGTGAGGAAGAAGGAGATACTGAGAGGGCGGGAAAGATCCGCGAAGTGGGAGGCTCCGAGATTGAGAGACCCTGAGACACACCCACAGGGAGGGCAATGGCATTCCGGGTCCAAGTCGATGAGCTCTCGACCCTGGTCGTCCCCGATCGGCCCCATACCTCTACCCGAAGCCTTCCCCTCATATCTCACTCCCTTCCTCCAATCCTCACCTGACAAAATGCGATTTCTTGCTCCGCCTGGCAGATTGACTGCGATTAGCCTGGGGAGGTAGAAAGCCGTGCAGCGGGCGGCCCTGAAGCCTCAGGAGCAGCCCCAGCCCCAGCAACCACCTCAGCCCGTAGAGTGAGGGCTACTGGCGCTCGAGGTTGGTTCCCACGCGGAAACCACGAGTACTCATTTCAGGAGCCGGCTTAGGCACTCGGGGACACACACATGAAATCGGCACCCGTGGAGGAAATAAGCGGAAATTACAAGAACCTCGGACAGGGAAGAGCCGAAGCCAGCTAGTGGCACTAGAACTCCCAGGATAGCCACTTAGTCGGGATAAACGGTGGTTCGCAACCCGGTTGCTAGGGCGCCAGTAGGCGGGCATCGTGAATTGTCGCGGTGCGCATGCGTAGGGGTCCCGGCCGAGCCTCTCCACGCCCCCATCTCCAGACTTCCCTGCCCCGCCCTTTCCCGTGGCTCTGGCCGTGCTATGCTAGGCCCTGCACAGGGTGGCGGGCGAGGGGAGACTGTCCTAGAAGTTTCATCATCGCAAGGCTCGCCTCCTCCCGAGGTTGCCTTTCTTAGTCCCAAACTAACAGTGTCGGCCGGGCGCGGTGGCTCAAGCCTGTAATCCCAGCACTTTGGGAGGCCGAGGCGGGCGGATCACAAGGTCAGGAGATCGAGACCACAGTGAAACCCCGTCTCTACTAAAAATACAAAAAAAAAAAAATTAGCCGGGCGCGGTGGCGGGCGCCTGTAGTCCCAGCTACTCAGGAGGCTGAGGCAGGAGAATGGCGTGAACCCAGGAGGCGGAGCTTGCAGTGAGCCGAGATCGCGCCACTGCACTCCAGCCTGGGCGACAGCGTGAGACTCCGTCTCAAAAAAAAAAAAAAAAAAAAAACAAACTAACAGTGTTACCGCCCCTGCCATCTTCATTTCTGGCTGCAAGGACTAGGGGGTGTGGCTTTCTAGGGCCTCATAGTCCAGTGCGGTGCCTATGAGGCACTTGAAATGCAACTTTTCCGAGTTTGATGTTCTCTAAGTGTAAAATGCACTCCAGCTACCAAAGACAAAAAGAAAGTAAAACATTTAGGCCGGGCGCGGTGGCTCAGGCCTGTAACCCCAGTACTTTGGGAGGCCGAGGTGGGTGGGTCACCAGAGGTCAGGAGTTCGAGACCAGCCTGACCAATATGGTGAAACCCCCGTTTCTACTAAAAATACAAAACTTAGCCGGGCATAGTGGCGTGCGCCTGTGGTCCCAGCTACTCGGGAGGCTGAGACAGTAGAATTGTTTGAACCTGGGAGGTGGAGGTTGCATTGAGCCGAGATCACACGACTGCACTCCAGCATGGGCGACAGCGAGACTCCGTCTCAAAAAAAAAAAAAAAAAAAAAAGGCGGGGGGTGCCAGGCGCTGTGGCTCACGCCTGTAATCCCAGCACTTTGGGAGGCCGAGGCGGCGGGTCACGAGGTCAGGAGATCGAGACCAGCCTGACCAACATGGTGAAACCTCGTCTCTACTTAAAAATACAAAAAGTAGCCGGGCTTGGTGGCAGGCGCCTGTAATCCCAGCTACACGGGAGCCGAGACAGAAGAATCGCTTGAACCCGGGAGGCGGAGGTTGCAGTGAGCCGAGATAGCGCCACTGCACTCCAGCCTGGGCGACAAGTGAGACTCCGTCTCAAAAAAGAAAAGAAAACATAGTTCTAATTACTGCATGGGTGATTGAAATCATTAATATTTAGGGTCCACTGCGTTGAATAAAACATTACTAAAACCAATTTCACCTGCTTCTTTTAATTTTTTTTAATGTGGCTACTTGGAAATGTAAAATTATGTAGTATGTGATCTACATTATATTTCTATTGGATAACGCTAGTCTTGGGAAGGAGGATGGAAGGGCAAAAGACTAAAGAAAACGAAGGCGGAGGCGGAGTCCTGCTCTATGCTATTGGAAGAAAGTCGTCTTTCTCATAGCGGCGGGGACCTTATTTTACGACCTCTGTAAGAATCCTGTCTTACCTTTTGCTCCTTGTGGTGTACTATAATGCAAAGTGCTTGCATGTGGAACAAGAGAGTATTGTAGGTATGATAGGATACAGATACTAGAAAAGCTTGTTATTTTTCCCTTTTGTGTCTCAAGAGTTTCGGAGAACAAGAGGTCACTTGTTTACGCTGAGTCGTGTGCGCCTTGCCAAGTGCCTTTCTGTCCAAGTTCCCTCGCTCTGAGAGGTCTGCGTCTCCTGGTGATTGGCAGGCGGCGATTCAAGACAGAACAAAGGCATCGTGCTGGCGGTGAGCCAAGGCGAGTAGAAATGTAGCAAGTTAACTCTTGGACTAGAGACGTTGAAAAAGTTGTAGGAGAAATGAAAGGAAATGTGCGAATGATGAAAAATAAGGGAGTTGTGAGAGTGAAAAGGTTGAACTTAATCAAAAGAATTAGAGAAGCTCATGTAAAGATTTGCAGGGCAGAATAGCATCATTGCCAGGGCACAGCCTTTGTGAAGAGGAATGGGAAAAGGGAGCTAGGAAGCGTGAGAGTGGTCACGGTTGGAAGTAACCAGAGCTTGGATAAAAAGTGTGTGTTTCACCGCTGCATTAGTATGGCTCTCTGGTCTGCCTTTGGTTGAAAACATGTGCATAATGAAAAAACAGGACAGTCTCCCAGGCCTAGTCCTGGAGCATGGATACCAGCTCCTCCAGGCACCAAAGAACCAAACCCTAGGAGGGCCCGTCGCTCCACGGGAAGGTGTGACCTTTACATCCCTGCCTCCCGGGTCACCTCCAGGACGTAGACCCCGCCTGTAAGGGACCCTGGTCAGACTCTTAACAGTGCCACTGAGGTCTTCCATTAAGGCTCCCTGCAGGGACGGCCTATGTATGCCTATGTCAACCTCAAGAAGTAAAGCATCACCAAAGTCTACAAGACGCAGCTATGCCACCAGTGTGTAGTTGTCGCCAGCTCCAGCCACCTGCTGGGCACCAAGCTGGTCCTGGAGATAAGCCAAGACACCATCCACGTAAACAGCACACCCACCACAGGCTACTCAACTGATGTGGGCAACATGACTACCTTCCAGAAGCCTATTAACCCATTCCAGCATATTCTGTGTATTTTAGAGGCTCTAGGAGTTGGTCAGCCGGCCCATCCAAACCATGTTTATCTTCTGCCTCCTTAAAACCCTGAAAGATGTATGAGGCCCCAGAGCAGCCAAAGCATCCACCAGGCAGGCCTGGTTTTCCCCAACAACAAAGCCTGTGAGACGGCAAGGACGGGTACCAGCCTCCCTGCCTGCCACCTCTGGCCAGCCCTGTATACTTTCTCATGTTGTATGCAAATAGCAACAGCTGTATTTCTTTCTTTCCAACATGTGTGCCTTTTGTTTCTTTTTCTTGCCTTGCTGGTAGGATTTCCAATATGATGTTAAGTAGAAGTGGTGAGGGTGGAGTTCTTTGGGGAAAACCATTTCAGTCTTTCACCATTAAGTGAGATTAACATATTTTTATAGATGCCCTTTATTGGGTGAAGGAAGTTGCCTTCTGAGTTTGCTGAAAGTGTTCATCATATTGAATGTTATCAAATTTTTTGCACCAATTGCTATGATCTTCTTTTATTCTTAAGACTATTAATGTGATGGATTACGCTGATTTTTCTGTTTATTTGTTTGAGACAGAGTTTTGCTCTGTGGCCCAGGCTGGAGTGCAGTGGTGTGATCTCGGCTCACTGCAACCTCTGCCTCCTGGGTTCAAGCGATTCTCCTTCCTCAGCCTCCTTAGTAGCTGGGATTGCAGGTGTGCACCACGACGCCCAGCTAATTTTTTGTATGTTTAGTAGAGATGGGGTTTCACCATATTGGTCAGGCAGTCTTGAACCCCTGACCTCAAGTGATCCACCTGCCTCAGCCTCCCAAAGTGCTGGGATTACAGGCGTGAGCCACTGTACTCGGCCTACCTTGATTTTCAAGTACCAAATCAGCCTTGTGTCTCTAGAATAAACCCTACTTGGTTGGTTGTTGTGTTAAAAATAAAAATGAAAAAGTGGCCGGGCGTGGTGGCTCACGCCTGTAATCCCAGCACTTTGGGAGGCCGAGGTGGGTGGATCACCTGAGGTCAGGAGTTCAAGACCAGCCTGACCAACATGTAGAAAACCCATCTCTACTAAAAATACAAAATTAGCCGGGTGTGGTGGTACAGACACTTAGGGTTCTGGAGCAAGGCCGTGCCATCTAGAAGCACAAAGCTATATACCATTTGAAAGGAGTTCCTGGTTTGCTCCTGGACCCTGGAAGAGATTGACCACTTGCTCTTCAGTTGTTTTTTTTTTTTTTTTTTTTTTAACTAGAGTCTCGCTCTGTCGCCCAGGCTGGAGTGCAATGGCGCGATTTCGGCTCACTGCAACCTCCACCTCCTGGGTTCCAGCGATTCTCCTACCTCAGCCTCCTGAGTACCTGAGATTACAGGCATGGGCCACCACACCCGGGTAATTTTTAGTAGAGACAGGGTTTCACCATGTTGACCAGGCTGGTCTCAAACTGCTGATCTCAGGTGATCCGCCTGCCTCAGCCTCCCAGAGTGCTGGGATTACAGGCGTGAGCCACTGCGCCCGACCAAATAAAATTTTTTTTTCTTTTTTTTTGAGATGGCGTCTCACTCTGTCACCCAGGCTGGAGTGCAGTGACCGGATCTCAGCTCACTGCAAGCTCCACCTCCCGGGTTTACGCCATTCTCCTGCCTCAGCCTCCTGAGTAGCTGGGACTACAGGCGCCCGCCACCTTGCCTGGCTAATTTTTTTTTTTTTGTATTTTTAGTAGAGACGGGGTTTCACTGTGGTCTCGATCTCCTGACCTTGTGATCCGCCCGCCTCGGCCTCCCAAAGTGCTGGGATTACAGGCTTGAGCCACCGCGCCCGGCCCCAAATAAAAATTTTTAAAAAGAGAGTAAGTGTAGATGACAAAGATCATAATGCCCTCTCCCTCTTGTTATGTAGCAGTAGAAATTGCAAAGTTCTTTCCTAGTCGTTTTATGTAATCCTCCCAGTGCTCATGTCAGGTAGGCAAGTTAGTTATTAATCTCTTTGTTTTATGTGAGGTAACTGAAGAGAAGTTAATTTGCTTGTCCAACATCACATAGCTAATAGATGACCAAGCTGAGGCTAGAAAGCAGGTCTTCTGGCTGGGTGCAGTGGCTCACGCCTGTAATCTCAGAACTTTGGAAGGCCGAGGAGGGCAGATCACGAGGTCAGGAGTTCGAGACCAGCCTGGCCAACATGGTGAAACCCCGTCTCTACTAAAAATACAAAAATTAGTTGGGCATAGTGGCACACACCTGTAGTTCCAGCTACTCAGGAGGCTGAGGCAGGAGAATTGCTTGAACCCAGGAGG